TAATGCTGTCGCCCACAAATATTAAAGAATGTATTCTGTATTCTGACTGGGAGAAAGCTTTTCTAGGAATGCTAATTTTGCTCTCAGCACCCACACAATGGACTGCAGTGTCCTTCCTAACCATTGTATGAGCTTGTGCTTGTTAGTCATCATGCTGAAAATTTTACTAAAGTAATAAAAGCCTGCAGTGTGCTTTGCAACACAAAAACTTACTGTCAGAATATCTGTCTCCAAAACAGAGGATACCTCACTATATATAACACAGTACTGTGTCCTGTTAAAATGCTATGCCAGCTCTGATGTTTAAATGTCACCAATCTACAGGACAAGAGAGGTGTCAGAAACAATGTGCTATCACACTGTATGACAGAAATGAATCTTCATTTAGAGAACAAAGTAAGAACAGGTCATCCAGGACACACAGTTATATTGGTATCATTTTATTTCCAGATCAATTCAGTGCATGTGATCTGTTAGTTCCAACATAAATCTAATAGCTAATTTATACTGATAACAGCCTGCAAGACTTGTTTTCCCACAGTATGGTTTGACAGAACTGGTAAGCACCAAAGCATTGTAATCAAAGTGTCAACAGGAGGTGGGGTAAGGCCAGGTCTGGGCTAAGCACCAGCACCAGCCCGGCAGCCACAGCAGCACTAACATAACTTAACTCAAAGTGTATTTTATTAAAAAAACATTGATTTGAAATGATTTTTACATGCTCAGAGAGCAGCTTAAGCTAGTACTTAAGTGGACTACATGTATAGCCTACAGGGAAAGCTCCTCACATATAAGTTAGCAGAGAGAAATAATCTAAACTGAATTTTTCTGATTATAATTCATGCTACCTAGAGTCAGCTTAGTAAAGCTTCGATCTGGGCAACACTGACCTCAGCAAGCACAGAGAACACATGCACATGAGACTCCACACATCTGTCTACTTTGTGTGCATGTTTTACTTGCATGTGCATCTGTGCACCATACGCATGTCTAATGCCTGCAGAGGTCAGAAGAGGATGTTGGATCCCCTGGAACTGGAGTTACGGATGGGTGTAACTGCCATGTAGGTGCTGACGGCTGAACCTGAGTCCTCTGCAAGAGCAACAAGTGTTCTTGACCCAAGTTACCTCCTCAGCCCTCATTTGTGTCTTAATAAGTGACATTTTGTATAATCTCCTCATGCTACAGGCAAATGTGAATTCATTGTTAAATGAACTGGTGTCATTCACTCCTTAGGCTATGCAGGTACTTTCCCAGGACAAGCACACATTACTCATAAGTCACTGTCCTTCCAATTAACTAACTTTCCACAGACTTCAAAGTGTTGGGTGAAGATGAGGAAGTGGAGTTGGGTTGTGTTTGCTTGTTTTCCCACCACTAAGAAAGCACACACCATACCCCATCCTCTTAGAGCCTGGAAAACTTAATACCTGAGTTATGACTCCCAACAATGGTGTGCACCAACTTTTGAACGCGGCTCCCTATATTCCAGACTAGCTGGTTGGTAGAGTAACAGGCCATTAAAGTCATAACTACTAGCTTGCTTTTTTCATTTTTTCTGTTTTATGACAGGACTGAGGAAAGTCTTTTTTACTTTACTTTTCTGAGGTAGTCTTAAATGAACAGAGAAAGAGACGACCTAGACGAAGGGAAATCTTTGTAGCTAGATGTAATGGGGCTGACTGAGCCTGACATCAGCTTTCCAACAAGAAATTTCTTTTATTCAGCAAAATGTACACCCCAGGAACTTTCACCACTCCCCTCTACAGTTTATATTGGGAGAGCACTTTGTAAACAGCAGAGCAGTTTTGCGAAAATCCAAATTCCAGTTCCATCTTTCATTAGTAGGGACACTGTAAAATTTTGAGTCTGTTATCTATCATCAGGGATCTTGAGAAACCACAGACTGCACAAGGAAAAGAGCTGTGCAACTATAAAACCGACATCTAGTTGCACGCTTATTAGCTACTGGGTTTAGACCGAACAGACGAGTGGATACTCATTTATTTATTTATTTGTTAATCATTTTCTTGTGACTAGTTCCTGGAAGAAGTCTTCCAATACAGTATCCTTGAGTGTTTTGTGTATTGAAGGTGATGGCCTGAACGGACTGATCACTAAGACTCTGTTCCAGTTCCTTGTTCTGTTGCTGTGATAAAAGACCTGACAAATCAATTTAAGGAGTCAGAAACAGTAGGTTCCTCACATCCAGAGTCAAGAAGCAGAAATGCATGTCCTGGAGCTCAGTTCACTTTCTCCATCTTATGTAACCTTGCCCAGAGAGTAGTCCTAACCTCTATTAAAAAGGGTCTTCCCAGGGGGCTGGAGAGATGGCTCAGTGGTTAAGAGCATTGCCTGCTCTTCCAAAGGTCCTGAGTTCAATTACCAGCAACCACATGGTGGCTCACAACCATCTGTAAAGACGTCTGGCGCCCACAACTGGCCTTCAGGCATACAGACAGAATATTGTATACATAATAAATAAATAAATAAATATTTTAAAAAAAGGGTCTTCCCACATGGAATAACATAATCAAGATAATTCCCCACAGGCAAGCCAAGTGCCCTTCTTCCAGGGGATTCTAGATCCTGTCAAGTAGAAAACATCACAGACTCTTATATAATGAAAGAATTTAGGTTATTTGTGTAAAGATTACTTTAATAACATGCTTAAATACTTAGTAAAATCTGAGCGCAAGAAATAAGAAACAAGTCAAGAGACCAGTGTGTACATTTTTCATTCTGATTTTAAACTAAATCAATGGCAAACATTTAAGTTAAATTGAATTTATACAATTAAATAAATACAATAAATACTAGGGCAACTCCGGAAGTGACAGCTGTGACATTCTAGGTTTCCACACATTTCCCAGGTCATCCAAGAAATACAGTGTCATTCCCAAGTATCTTTCAGCATGTATGAAATTTCTTAAGTCAATTCCTTTGGAAGGGAATTAACACTACATAATAAAGTTCTTTTTTCTTTCTTTTTCCTTTATGATGCTGGAGACTGAACCTGTGAATGCCCAACACTGTTCTACCAATGAGCTACATTCCCAGGCTAAGTCCCTTTCTGGAGATGATCTATTTGCAAATTTGAGCCTATGGGTACAACATCAATGATAATGGAATTGGCATCTGGAAAGCCAAGGATAATGAATGTATAGAGATGAACAGCTACTTAAACAAGCACTTTGAGCATGAGCAAGCCTAGCCTAGGCTTGGTCTCCCACATCACAAAAGCAAATTATTAACACGTGAAAAGCATCCTTAAACTAAGACATATCTCAAAACACTCAGAAATTGAGTAGTAACATTAGTAATCTAACTTTCTTATAATTCCAACACTACAGGATATTTTTTTAAAAACGGAACTAACTTCATTTAAAAATACAAGGTATATTTCAGGAACTGTAAGACACAATATGAAATATGTAAAATAAAAAAATTAACTCCAAATGTATGGTTCAAAACATTCCTTAAAGTTGTCAATAAATGCCAATGTGTTACAAATACACTGTGACAAAATACTACAATACAATTAATTTAAAAGGCAACCTCTGTAAACTCAATGACTCCAACACTGCTTCACAGAGCCCAAAGGAAGACAAACAATAAACAGAGTTGCTCACAGCACAGCTAGCCTGCACCTCCCACTTACATACTCTAAAAAGAGTGAAGATCTTCAAAAGTATAGGACACTCAATCCAGACAAGAGTATGACTATCTAACATTAAAAAGAAGTGTTCTCTCTCCATCAAAATTATTACCCAATAATTTCAAAATCAGAATTAGCCATACATGTGGCTAAAGACTGAGAAAGTGTGCAATCTTCAGGAAAATGATACATCCGCGGCTTCTGGGTTTTTCCAGGGACAATGGTCATGATGCTAACTAACATCTAAGACAGAGGAGGGGCCTATAAACATGAAGGACAGTGAGGCTGTCTAGCCAAACAAAAAATACAACATGACCCATGAAGACTTTGGAGAAAAAACACTAAGCTTTCCCAGTCTCCCCAAATTAACTGGATCAATAAACTTCCCAACATCTTTCCATCATCTGCAAACTTGGAGTGGACTGAGAGTACAAAATGGATCTGAACTAACGGATCTCAAGCTTCAGTACAGATCCTTGGATCTGTTCCCAATGATCCAGAACTGGCTAGAAACTGCAAACTAAGTGTTCACCAAGCACCACCTAACTAGAATGTGCCGTCTCCAGAGCATCTTTTTCAGAGAGATGCTAATGGACCTAACTGTAATATAGCTATCTATCACAGCATCGTTATCAAGAATTCAGAACTAATTGGTAGAGAGTTTGCCTCACATTTAAAAAGTCCAGAAATCAATCTGAAGAATCCCATAAACCAAGTGCTATGACACTCTCCTGTAGTCCTGGTGCCCGGGAAATAGAAGCAAGAGGATCAGAAGTCATGCCCACCCTCAGAGACAAAGTGAGTTTGAGGCCAGACTGGGCTATGTTAGACTCTCAGGAGGGAAATAAAAATGTAGGATCTAGCCCATAGAGTAATACATAGTGAATCCTCACAGAAGAATCAGAGAAGAAAGGAACAGGTGGGAAAGGGAGGAGACGACCTGCCTCTAACTGTCCTCTCTATGACTAAGACATACAACATGGCAGCAACATAAACCACATACGTATCTACTGCCAAAAAACAAAGTCTCCACATAATTGCAATTGGTACCCTATTCATCCTGTTCTCACATCAAACTTCAAAGGAAGAAAAGGGAGGAAGTACACAGAAGCACCCCTGTGCCCCAAAGTCTAATGGAAAATTACTGGGTGACTAAAACTTAATGACTGCTCTTCCCAGGTACAAGAAATCACAGGATGTTCTGGACCAGACATGGAACTGAGATTAAAGTTTGAAGTCACTGATTACTCATGTGCACACATTTCATTTGGGATAACATCAGATTCCAAAGATATACTGGCAATTATGTCTGTCCATTTTTCATAGTTTCCCATTCACTTACATTATAATTTTTGAGATCTTTTATCTTCACTTCTGATGATCTTCAAATGTCAATGGCTCTTAACACATTAACTGTAAACAAACACAAAGGAACTTAGGGGTTCAGACACTGAATGAGCCCAGAGTTAAGTATTTTAAATGACTGTGCAAAGTCTCAGGGGCAGGGAAAGAGGGGGAAAGGCTTCCCTTGCATACTTCATGTGATCTTCAAAACAGAAAACTGTCGTTGCAAATGAAAACTATACGACACCAGCACCTTGCTTTCTGTATGGAAGAAGAAATACTCAAAGCTAAAGAAAATCCCCAGTTCACCAACGTGACTTCCCGTTTCTCCACAGGGAACATGGCCAGTGTCAATCTGTATAGGAACTGTCCTCTAACTGCAAAGCTGTCTGAACCTCAGGCACCTAATCTTCAGGTACAATCACTTCTGTGTCATACAGACCCTGAAGCCAGACAGACTTGGACTCCAAGGACAATCCACTCTATCTTCAGTTTTCTTATCTATAAAACGGAAAATTTAATACTGTCAAGCTAATATAGACTTACGTGAGAAGAGCACCTAAGTAACCTAGCGTCACAGCATATAGTAAGCCTACAACAAACATTCAGGGCTATTGTTTACATTATGTTGTTTATTAACTCTATTAATTTGCTATTGTAACAACTATCATGTGAAAAGCAAAACTTACCCTGAATGTTTCTATTTTTGTTACCCCTTTTGATATAGCGAATGTTTTTTAATATTAATAAAATAAGATTAACTTTATTTTTTACCTTTACAGGCAGGTATCTTTGCTTAGTTTAAGAAAACTATGGCCCAAAGTCACTGGTCCATCAATTATTGTCCTTTCTACAGAAGCGCAAACTTGAGGTGAGACACATAAAACTGCCTGAACAGCCACTCATTTGCTGCCATCAGGAACCATGGAGAGGAACAGCAAGCAGCTTTGGAACTCACAGAAAACTCTCACTGGTTAGCATAATCATGGTGGGTGTGTCTCAGAGAAGCAGAGCCCTGAGGACTAGTTTCCTCAGGACCTTGATGCTATTATCACCACATCCCTTACAATCTGTAAGTTGTATGGAAACTCTCAAGCGTCCCTAGCCCCTGTCTGGCCAGTGCCACTGGTACTTAAAATAACAGTGATTGACTTTCTGCAAGCATTGCTGCTGGAACAGACTAACAATCAACCACATCCTAAGAAAGATGTAGACTGTTAGTAAAGTTAGGTTAAGACTTTTTGTTGTTGGTGGCGGTAGTGGTGGTGTTTTGGTTTTGTTTTTCTTTCTTCCTTCCTACATTCCTTTCTTTTTCTCCCTTTTTTCCCCCCTTTTTCTGATTTTTGAGACAGGTTTCTCTGTGTAGTTTGGGAGTCTGTCCTAAACTTGCTCTGTAGACCAGGCTGACCGTGAGAACTCACATAGAATTGCCTCTGCCTCCCGAGTGATGGGATCAAAAGATTGCAAAACCACCACCACCATGTGGCGAAGGTTAAAATGTTTTTGTTAATGGCTTTGGTGCCACTCATTTTCTGTTGTGACCACTGCCTTGCAATCAGAGGCATTTCCAGCTTGTATGAGCATCATAGGAATGTGCTTCTTGCTTTTAAATGGTTCATTGTTGTGAGGGAGAATCACTGCCTGTCTCCTATATTCTCTCTCTTCTATTCCTTAAGTCAAAACCTCCACGCTTTGCCTTAGCACGAGGCCTTAAAAAAGAGCCTACAGAACCTAATATCCTAGACCGTCTTACAGCTAGCCATGGCCACAGGACCAAGCAAGAGTCAACTGGATAGTAGCTTAAAAGCAACTTGTGATCGCTAAAGCATGTCTTTTAAAGAGACTGAAAGTCCTCAAAGAGCTCAAGGTTATTCACAGAAGCATAGTCTGTGAAGGAAAGTGGTTCCTACCAATGGGTCCTGTGCACCCAGCGAGGAGTCAGGTCACTTGTTCTTTCAGTGGCCTCCAGTGACCATCACAGTACAGGGGTCAGCAGCCAGTTGTGTGTTACAGAGTGACAGGAGGGGCTACATTAGGAGGGCATCTCCCATAGTCCCTTGTGCTCTGACATCACCACCTTTAGAACCCCGCTTTTAACCTGACTTCTTATGAAATCAGTCCAGGTCCTGACACAAATATAGCAAGTACTTTACAAATTCAAAGCCAGTTTTCCTAAAAATGAAAAACCTTCTATTCTAGAATCTGTTGGGGAATTTCCACTACTCAAAATCCTCAATCACATGCAATCTTAGGCCCTGGTGGTTTTTAATACAATAGCATTAATTTGGTAGCTTTCCAAAATAAACTTCCTGCCTTCTGAACCAATGTGCCCTCCAGAGTTATTGCCTTCCCTTGGGGACAAGTCAGGTTGCTGGTTTGGTTTGTTTATGCTCTCACATTATTTCTCCATATAATAATTTTATAAATGTGTCATATTATAATGCATTATATTAGGATCCCTATTTTTAGAAAAAGTCCTAGAGCCTACAGTTTTGGCTTATGTTATTCACAACTGAAAATTAATAATACTCAGAAAATTTCCTCTAAAGATGAGATTTAATAAACAACAACAAAGTATACAGGACCCAAACCCAGTTTCAGGATTAACTTTCATACAAAATCTTGATAATAAGTACTCGTAAATTCATAATAATATTGGGCCTTACATAGAGATTAAAGCTCTTTTATGGTCTAGAAATAATAAATTTCAAAATGATTTTTAGATTACCACTACAATCAGTACTGACTCAGTGCCAGTAGTAACAATGCCAAAGGAGACACTCAACCAGACAGTCACTCTGTCCTGAAGCTGTAACTTCTAACACTACTTCTGGCCAGCTGCCCCAGAAAACACACCACTGAATGGGTAAGGATGTGATGATATAAACCCATCACTACCGAAAAAATCTGAAAGATACTTCCTACCAACATATCACTTTCAAGCTAAAACTACAGATGAGATTTTGTAACAAAATATGCTTTCGGCATCCCGGAAACTCTTTACCACCTTAGACTATAATTAAAATCCACAGAAACAGTAGCCCAGGATTCACTATTTCAAATGATCATAGTTTTAAGAAAGATATGCAACTTTAAAAATGCAATTAAGTTGAAGGGTAGGATAGTGCACACCTGTAATCACAACACACAGGAGACTAAGGCAGAAAATTTTTTAGTTCAAGGCCAGACTGGGCTACACAGTGAGCCGTCCTCCCCACCCCAAAGAAAAAGCAATCAGTTGTGTGTGTGTGTGTAAATCTTGTTTTGTTAATGAAAGTTAGTGGGGCATGGAGTATGCATGCTAAATTATTTATCAACTAGAAAACAACTGATAAATCAAAATAACCAGAGACAAGCAAGTATTACCCAGAATAACTACAGCTCAAGAATATGCGGTGAGGAAAAAAAGACACATTAAAGTGACTGGCATGGAAAATTAGAGAATAGGGAGTCAAAGTGATCAAGATTGAAGGATGACAAACAAGGGGAGGACACATGGATAGGACCTTGCATAGAAGAGAGAATATGCTGTCAGTAAAGACCACACCAGTGCTTCGCAGACAAGAAAGCTGAGGATGAACCTGAGGTCAAACTGTTCAGGTCAGTCACAACAGGAGAGAGTCCCTTTTAATCCTCCGAATGAGGACAACCAACAAGACCAGTGGTGAGCATACATCAACGTTCCTTTGTTTCAATGTTCAGAGCACCTACTAGATAGACAGCATCTGACGACACACTGTAAAAAGCAGACATCAAAGAAACCTACTCAGACAGTGCAATCTACAGTTAACAGCCTGGAAGACAGAAACTAAATGTAGGTGGTAAAATAGTACAATACATTGCTGAAGGACAGGTCTGTCCCAGCCTTCACAACTGGCCTATGCAAGGACGTATTTATATTTATAATCCGTTGAGTCCTACTTACACCAAGAATCAGAGTGAGACCAACAAAAGTAAAATTATAGAAACAGTTAGATGACCAGTACGATAAAGTAAAGTTTGTCTCAACACCCTGGCGGGGAGGGGGCTACGTGTGTGCAGAGTAGGCAAGATCTGCCTAAAGAGGGCCATACAAAGCAAGATTCAACACAAACACTGCTTACTACAGTTCATTAGAAACTATCTGAATAAAGAAAAATAAATGGTCTTCTACAGCCAAAAAGATCAGTCAGATCTATGCTGACCCAGAAGGAAAGTTAAACCAGCACAACTCTAAAAAAAAACCCATCACACTTCATCAAGACAACACACTTTTAGTAGGAACTACAGACATTCCAAACCCTTTAAACCAACTTCAACAGAGTATGTTCTTTTAAAGAAACAATGGATCCCTTTAATCCCAGCACTCGGGAGGCAAAGACAGACAGATCTCTGAGAGTTCGAGGCCAGCCTGGTCTACAGAGCGAGTTCCAGGACAGGCTCCAAACCAAAACAAAGGGATCTTGAAATGAGCTATAGTGTTCATTTTCTTTATATATTCTTCCCAGAAAGGACAAAAATACACTATCTATTAACTATTTAACTGTTCAGACATAATATTTCATCCAAATTCATCTCATCATAGAAGCATTTGAGACCATCAGAGATGAGTGTTTTATCAACTTCAGTTATAAATTTGAAGTTTTTTTTTTTGCTCAGCTAAGGAAACAGTTTCTATTTTCCAACAAACTGAAAGTAATAATTTTTGCTTAATTTTTCTTGTAGCTAAACTCAATAGAAATTTAAGTCAACTTTGATGAGATGGCAGTGAGAGCACTTGATGCTCTTGCAGAAGACCAGGGTTCAGTTCCCAGCACCCACGTCACATCTGCCTGGCCCTCCAGTTTAAGGGAATCTGGTATTCCCTTCTGACCTTCTGGTCTCATTTTATGTGGTATACATAAAATCATGCAAGCATAAACACACACAAAAATTTTTAAATAGTACTCAATTTATCAATCTACTGGGTGAAAGAAACTGTGCGATGCATGAAGCACTATAAAAGATTATTTTGTAGAGTGTACGAAGGCGAATTCATAAGAAAATTTATTTGCGCTCTGAATAAAAACAAAAAACAAAGTACAACGTTAGAGTGACGAGACAGACATCCAAACTTTACCTGCAGTCCTTCGTAGACTAACAAAACTTGAGCTAAAATACACTAGTAGAAATAGCATAGTCTGCCCTGCCTGTACATTAGAATCACCTGTGACTGTCTCCATTAAGCTAAAACGATGCTAAAACGTTCCTATAATGAAGCGATTCTCTAAAGAGAGTTCCAAACAAACACCACATAGAATGCACAGTACGTTGGTAATATCACTGATGTTTAAGCTAAGACACTGGCTCTGTGAGGCTGTGTCCCAAGCATACTTGTCCCAGAGTGTCCCCAAACGCCACTTGTCTGGTGACGTGGTGGCCCCCAAACTCAGTGACAAGGAGGGCAGAAGAGTGAAAATACCAAGCCCTTGACAACAGACCTCCTGTTAAAGTTAAAACGCTGTATCCTCAAACACAACTGGAGCAACCTCGACGAGCGGAAAGTGGGTAGGGATGAGAAGAGTAGAGGCCATAGAGAAACTGCCGAGGAGCCAAGGCTCGGCCGGACTCTCCATCCCCGCACCGGCTGTCCGCGGCTTCCCCCTCTTCAAGGCTCCGGCCTCTCCGTCCCCGCACAACTCTGCCCCTTCCATCTCTCCAGCGGCCCCTGCCCCTCCGCCGGCCTCCGCTGGCCTCTCCTCTCCTTCCGCCCGCCTGCCCCGGCCTCCGTCCCCACCTGGACAGTGAGTCCTCACTGGGTGGCCGTGCCGCCGGGGGCCGCGCGCCGAGACTCTCGCAGCTCGAGCTCTTCTCCATGGCGCGAGAACAGGAGGCCGCCGCACCCTCTGCGGCCGCGGGCGACAGATGCACAGGGAGGAGCGCACAGGGCCTCGGCCGCGGTCAGCCTAGCACCAGCCACAATGCGGGACCGGAAGCGGCCATGTTCCCCCAGCCTGCACCGCGCGCGGGGGCTCTTGGGAGCCGGGACCCCTGGCCCTGCGGAGCCGGGCCTTGCGCATGCGCCCTGGCAGCCCAGCGCAAGATCTGCGTGAGGAGAGGGAGTCGGCCAGCCGGGTGGAGACTTTGAGCTGAGAGGAAAATTTTTAGAGGGAAGGGAACACCCGTATATCATAGAGAAGACGCAAGGATGCGAAGCCTTGGAAGCGGTGGAGTCGAGAAAAGTAGAAGAACGTGGGCTGACTGGGGGATGAAGGAGAGACCTGGGGAGATCCAGGGCTAAGAGTATTGAAAAATAAGGTTAGAGATAGCAAAAGGTACAGCATACTTGAGAATCCGTTGTGAAGCAAAGCAGACTCAGATTCCACTGCCTCCTGTTGCATTTACACCAGCTTCCTTCTATGTGAGTGAGTTGTAGACGTAAACCGCCTAGAACAAGGCTTGTCTAGGACGGAGCACGCATATAAACAATCTTAACAAATTTAATATGAGCGAAAGCTAAAGGATCACAGACCAGTAACAAATGGTTGATAGGAGAAAGGTACCACCAGCTGCTCCCCACCCCCACCCTAAGTGGGGAAGCGGAGGGATTTCTTTCCACCTCTGACCATCATTATACAGAGGAGAATGGGGATGGAGTTGAAGTTTTCAGGCCCCTTGTGACAAGAGTGTGGGTCAGTGTGGCTTGGGAGTGGGTCTGTGACTGACAGGCACGTGGACAGCAAGGAAGAGAGAGTGGGGGAGACTGGGAGATTCTCAAAAAGAACTAGACACAAACACTGCTGGATGCAGTGTTTGAAACAGAGGACTTACCTCTCCAGATCCCGTGCTCCTTCAGATTCCCCTGCAAAGCAGGAAGGGAGTGTGGAGATGGAGTTTGATAAGGGAGCAGGATCTGGGTAAAGGGGACTGTGGATGCCAGTGACTTTCTGTTACTCAGGATACAAGATGGGTAATACTAGAGGAAGGTTTCTACCTGACTCCGCTTTAGTCTCTCACACATATGGAGAGTCAAATTAAGGCAAAAAATTTTTTTATGAATTAGAGAATCTTTTAAAAATTACTTGCTAGGATAAATATAATTGTGCTGATGCAAATTAGATTTAATACAATTACTTGATTTTTTTAAAGAAAATTTTAATTTTTAGAAGCAAGGAAATAATTTGTGGGTTAGTTTTCCATTACTGTGACAGTCTACCTAATGAAAGACTTATTTTGACTGATGATTTCAAAGATTCCAGGCCATGGCCACTAGGCTCCTTTTTTTTTTTTTTTTTTTTTTTTTAAGGCTGAAATAAAAGAGAACATCCTAGCTGGGAACATGTAGAAAAATCTGCTCATCTCCAGGTGTCCAGAAAGGAGAAACAGAGGGAGAGAAAAGGGGAGGATTCCAGTCCACATTTAAAGGAGACTCAACTACTCCCCTCCTCCAAGTTCACACTGCCCCCCAGTGACACTATCAGCTGACAGCCTAACCTTTAGAGACATAGCCTGTAGAAGATATCTCATATCCAAAACCTCAACAGTTTGAAAGAATATTACTCACAAGATCAACCTATCTGAATTGTGTTCTACATGAAAGAATGAATATGTTATGTTAATTCCACAGATTGGAGGAGAAAGATCCCTGACCCAAGTTATCATGGCTAAATTAATTAAGCAATTAATTAAAGCAACGCTTTTATTTCTGTACATGGGCTGTCTCAACTAAAGATGGGGTTTAAAAATCAGCCATGGAAGTGGGGAAGATAAGGCTTTTATACTTCAGGGGTAGGGAATTTTGCAGGCAAATAGGTGGGGTTACAAAAGCAGAACTTAAGCATAGCAAGTTGATCATAACAACCTGAAACGAAGGCACGATTGCAAAGTAATCTTAACCCTTTTGAAACAGAAGTATGGTTGCTGTTTTCTGGAGCAGAAAGTACAGAACCAGTTGTTAAGGTTACAGGTGGAGCATAGCCCAATCCTTGAGAAACAAATTTAATCATAAACAGAATGAATCTAGTTTGTCTGTATATAAGATGGCTTTCAAAACCCAAGATGGAGGCAGGCTAGTTCATCAGTTAGCCTCAGAAGAGTTAGCCTTTCTCTTCCATTTTCCATGCAAGGACAGATGGCAAGCAATTATTTTTATCTCTAATTTTTCAAGAGATTTTAATTGTGCATTTCTGATAGGCCAGCAAGATAAGTAGTCAAATAAACACTTTGACAAGCATAAATATCTGTAAGATTCAGGAGAGAATGCATCTACTTCTCTGTCCCAAACAGTGTTTCTAATGCTGACTCACGATCACTTGGCACTTCAACTTGTGTCTTCCAAGTTACACATGTTGGAGAAAGATGAACCCTTGAAAGGAAGACCCATTTCATTTTAGCATTGTGTTGAATGCTAGAAAAAAATGTCTTCCTGGGTAATAACTTGTGCATGGCCCTCTCTAGTGATTATTATGGGACAGTGTTAAATGGATCGAGATTACAACCAGAAAAGCCTGCATTGCAATCCTATGCAGTCGCTGAAACTTGCTCTGAATGTTTGTTTCCCATCTCTGAACACAGAACATGTTTTTCTACACAGCTGCGCACAAGCACTTAGTAAATAGATGTGTTGCTGTAATTGTTTCTTTCCCACTTCTAACCTGAAGAGTAACGAGCAAAGAATACTTTGATTTCAGATGGAAGGTAAATTGCTGCCATCCTTATCGTACACATTGGCTGCTCTGTCACATAACTAAGAAAAATGAACCTAAGCCTCCCTGTACCTCAGTTGTCTCTTTTTTTTTATAAGAATAACAGCATCTGGGCTGGGAAGATCAGTGAAGTGCTTGCTGTAGGACCATGAGGACCTGAGCTCCACCCCTGAGAAACCTAGAGAGAGAAAGCTAAGCTCCATCCCTGAGAACCTACATAGAGAGAGAAGAGAGAGGGGAGTGGGGAGAGTTGAGCTCCACCCCCCAACCTACAGAGAGAGAGAGAGAGAGAGAGAGAGAGAGAGAGCTAAGCTCCACCCCTGAGACCCTACAGAGAGAGAGAGAGAGAGAGAGAGAGAGCTAAGCTCCACCCCTGAGACCCTACAGAGAGAGAGAGAGAGAGAGAGAGAGAGAGAGAGAGAGAAAGCTGAGCTCCACCCCTGAGAACCTACAGAGAGAAAGAGCTGAGTTCCACCCCTGAGAACTTACTTAGATAGAGAGCTGACCTCCTCCCCTGAGACCCTACAGAGAGAGAGAGAGAGCTGAGCTCCACCCCTGAAAACCTACAGAGAGGGAGAGAGAGGGAGAGAGAGAGAGAGGGAGAGGGAGAGAGAGAGAGAGAGAGAGAGAGAGCTGAGCTCCACCCCTGAGAACCTACAGAGAGAGAGAGAGCTGAGCTCCACCCCTGAAAACCTACAGAGAGGGAGAGAGAGAGAGAGAGGGAGAGAGAGAGAGAGAGAGAGAGAGAGAGAGAGGGAGGGAGAGAGTGCTGAGTTCCACCCCCAAGAGTCTACATGGAGAGAAAGCTGAACTTAATGACCTGCTTGTAATCTCACTGCCCAGAGGACAGGGATGGGTATATTCCTAGTTCTCTCTGGCCAGCCAGTTTATCCAAATTGAGGAGTTCAGATAAAAGTGAGTCTGTCCCACAAAACAAAAGGGTGGTATACTGATCAGTTTCTATCAACTTGATACAAACTAGAGCCACCAGAGAACAAAGAGCCACAAAATATCCCCATCAGATTGGCCTGTGGACACATCTGTGCAGCATGTTATTAATTAATGAGGGATATGAGCAGGCCCAGCCCACTATGGGCAGCAGCATCTCCAGGCAGGACGTTCTAGATTATATGAGAAAGCAAGTGAGTAGACAACTTTCCTTTACAGTTCTGGACTTCCCTCAAGGATGGGCTCCAATGGTTTTCAAGCCAAATGAACCCTTTCCTCCACACGATGCTTTTGGCCATAGTGTTTATCACAGCAGCGGAGAGCCAAACTAGGACAGGTACCTGAGGCTCAGGAGGCTTTGATGTACATGAGCTTGTGCCCCTGGGAAAGTACACAAATTTCCATGTGCACAAAATACAAACACACCTATGCACATGTAAATTGGGAGAGGTGGAGAGGTGGCTGACTGGGTAAAGGGTGTTCCATACAAGCATGAGGTCCAGAGTTCAGATCCCCAGCACCCAGGTAAATGCTGATGGGCATGGCCATCTTGCCTGTAAATGTGGCACATAGGAGATGGAGACAGGTTTCCCAGCATGAGTTAGATGGTAGACTAGCTGAGTCGTCCAGCTCTGAGTTCAAGGGAGAGACCCTCTCTCGATATATAAGATGAAGAGAGACTGAGGAAGACTGTCAAATTGTGGCTCTCAGATGCACACATATGTGTACCCATCCACACACATAAGAACAAGCATATATACAATGCACACACATATATATGCAAAAAGAAATTTCAGCCTATTCCACATCATACAGGAGCTGCTATAATAATTAATTTTATAATCTAGGTACATATCTCATGTCAAATGTTTAATTTTAAAGGTCTTCAAAGTTTATTTCTAGTATTTAACAGGCTGGTATTTTTCAAATTGCCTGTGAGAAGACAATTATTAAGTTTTTAATTTCAATCATCAATCAATACTTTAAAAATAGAATAGAAATTAATTGCTAAAAAATTTAAAACATCAAGGGCATGTAAAAATATAAGGTCAAATTTCTTTCTAGATGTATCTGATGATAAAAAATTTACAAACATATATAAACATTCTCAGTTCCATCTTTCATCATGAACTGACAACTAACATTTTCAAGTTATGGACACTGAGTGTCAGTCATGATACAAAAATCACTATCTATAGGTGTGTTATCCACCAGCTTGTCAAAGGCTGCTTATTGGATTATTTAAATCTAAATGAGGAAATAAGTGTCCTTTGGGATGAGCTATGACACCGAGATTTACAGACAATCCTAGACTAGTGAATCCTCATCTATCTGTCTGTCTGTCTATCTATATACATCTTTCTATCATCTGCTTATCTATCTATCTATCTATCT